GAATAAAAGGAGACAAAAGGGGGCATTCAGCCCAAAGCAGTGTCTCAAAAGTTGCACCCCGGTACATGCATTTTATACCCTAGGTAACCAATTAGGTCACCTAATACACTTCTAATGCATCAATACATCAATGTAGCCACACCCCCACTGCTGTTAGCTTCAAAGAGTCTTTTCTTCTGTCAAGGACCAGACATTTCCCATGTCTATTTCTTATCTGCTCGAGATTCACACAGGCTTGCCATGTTCTTACTCCCTGAACATTTGCAACTTTCATGGCAGCTAGAACCAGTTTCCACTGTCCCTTTGATTACTGTATTTGAGGTCAGGCTAGTGTGTTCACTGTGGGTTACTCAAAATTCATTTTGTTCTTACCCGCCCTCCCTTCTGGGACAGTATAACTGGGACAGTGTTTTAACTATGTGGCCTTCCTCTGGCCAACTACTTTTGAGCTGCTGCAACTGGCAACCAGGTGAGAACCTTTTTTATTCTCCCAGTATTTTCACAGTTATCTTTTAAACCTAAGTTTTAATATTGCATTTCATCCTGTATTGCTGCAATACCTCTGTGCTGATTCGGTTGCAATTGCTGTGGTTTCATTGTCTTATGTTAATTTCTTGTTGTTTGTGTGCTTTTAACTTTTGTTAAATGCCCAGATCTATTGGGCAGTATAAAAATGAATCAGACAGATGACAGACAGGCAGCTAGATAGACAGATACAATTTTAAACACATGCACACTTTGGCAGTGAATGTCTTGCTTTATTTTGGGCCACCCAGTGTCCGAGGTGGTGGAAAGCTTTTACCACAGCACAACTCATCCAAATGCAGTGCTAGGTAGCAATCATTCACTTCTCTTTCCACTGACATGGTACAAATATATACATCTATACCATGGCTTAAAAATTTTGCCTTGCCCACCAAACTGCCTCCAAGCTATATGTATCTAGAACTGTAACACATTCCTGTTTTCAGCTAATATGATTGCCTGACAACTACAGAAATATAATATTATTCAACCAGACTCTGTCACAGAGGTGCCATTGAGATATTTTAATAGAATGCTCTCAGAAAAAATAGAATTGTGCTACAAATGTTAATGATGACTGTTTTCTTTTCCCCACCATCAGCACCCATCCCTGTCGTTTAATATCACAAAAGGAAGCAAGTGGTCACTGCTTCTTTCTGGGGAACATAAATGTGGAGTCACAGTACATGACAGCAGTAAAAGAAACACAAAAGTAACAAAATCATTTAGACAATTAAAAGCAGTGTGCCCCTGCTTTCTTCAATAATTTGAATTTTCTGTTCAAGGAAGCATGGGGCTCCTTTCTGATAGCTGCTTCGTGTGTGTGTGTGTGTGTGTGTGTGTGTGTGTGTGTGTGTGTGTGAAGAAGAAAAATATACCTGAACAAATCAGAGAACTTAGTGGGGGTTGGGTGGGGATCCTCCTGCACTCAAGAGCACTGCATGTGTGAAAGCATGACCACCCTGCCCAACAGCCAAAGCTCTCTGGACTTTGACATCACCAGGTGGTGGGGCGTTCAAACAAAGCAGCAGGTTACCTGTAGCCTCTGCATTCACCTGCTGCCCTTGTTTCTTTCATTGGCCACCTGGCAAGATGTGGGTGGATATGAAGTCTTCTCGTCTGTTCCCCTGGTGGGGCAAGCCTGTCCTCCTGGGGCCCAAGTTCAAGACAGTACACATGCAGGGTGTAATTAAGCGCTTTCCTAAGTTACTAAAGCCGCAGAAAGAGGCACGTGCCACCCACATCTCTGCCTAGACAGGAAGAGCCCAGCCATGGTGATCCACACACTGGTAACCTCACAATTAGACTACTGCAATGTGCTCTACAAAAGGCTGCCCTTAGGCCAGGTTCAGAAGGTGCTGCTGGTGTGGAATGGAGCCACCAGGAACACCCAGCATTGCTTACATAATACCTGAGTTAGAAGGACCACACTGGCTCCCTATTGGAGACCAAGCCAAGTCCAAGGATGCAGTGTCATACAAAGCTCTAAAGAGCTTGGGAGCAGGATATCCCAAAGCAGACTGCCTTCCCTTACATATACACGCCTTTGACCTTTAAGATTCTCAGAGGAGGCCTTGCAGGTCCTTCCAAAGCCAATTGAATGTCACCACATAAAACCTAAATGGAAGGCCTTTTCAGAAAGAGCACCCACCCTTTGGGAAATGCTCCCCTAGCCTTTCTGGGGACAGAAAACAGGGCATGTTTCAAAGGCCTCCTGAAAAAGCCCTTGTTCATTCAGGCTTTTCTGCCTTGCAGTTAATTGCAATGAATTCTGCTGCTCCATCTTACTGCTCCCTGTATTCTTCCGTACTGTCATTGTGCTTAGAAATGTTTTTAATATGTATTTTAACTGTTATTTTAATATTTATATGCAAACCACCGAGGGGTTTTATTTTATTCTACTTTATTAAATAGAAGCATCACAAATAAATAAATAAATAAAAATCTAGCAAAGGCCTGGATGTGGAATGAACACACATTATTTCTCTCCCTTTCAACACACTCATTACTCATTGTATTCCCTTTCCTGAAAGACTCAGCTAAGAACAGAAACCACGGAGATAATCTCATTATAATATAATTACCTAGAGAGAGGGGGGAACCTGTTTTCAGAGGGAAGGAATCAAAAGGGACAGATTTCAGCTCATGCTTGATTAATTAATGCATTGATACATTGCAGCAAAGACTAGATTTTGAAATGGAAACATGGCTACATTTGTGATGCTGTGAAAAGGGCTTCTCCTTGATTATAATGACAGATGTAGCCGACTCTCCCTTTCAAACCCAGTTGCCTTCTCTGCTAAAATTGCTGCAGAAGGCAGTGCAAGAATTCAGCTCTGAACTAAGGACTATGATGGTCTTGCCTCCCTTTAGCCTTACTTGGAAGGATCGTGTGGGTTTGGCTAGCAGATGGCAGGACTGCATGTGTAAACACAGCTCATCTAATCAAACCGAGGTGTTTAATATAAATATACATATAGTCAACAGGAATGCCTTTGGAGCTGATCCATTAATTTGGGTAACTGGAAGATGGCAAGGCTTCTGCAGCTTTATGTTATTTGAAAAAGTAGTCATTGCTTACAGTTTAAGCAAATTATGCCTCTTCTGTGTGAGCATTAAAGGAGCAGAAAGTATAACCATGTCCTCTTTTGCATTTGGCCATCCTGGTATTTCCAGAAGTGTCCAGCCCTGTCTGTGTATAGATTTAAAAGATCCAGCAGTTCTAGTGTGTACTGGATTGTCCTAAATCTTTTTTTACCTACTTTAATGTATATGGTATCCACACAGACATTGGTTGTTGAGCTAGCAACATTATGACCAAAAGGAAAAAAGGATGTTGCAAGAAGCAGGAATAAAAAAATGCAATGTTTTCTGCTGTTGCAACCATTCACATGCATCAGCTGAACACAGGTCTGAAACTTGTGCATCTCCCCTGGATGAGTCCCTATTGTACATTACAGGGAAAGCACATGAAAAAAGAACAAGACACTTGCAATGTGCTTGTCAGCATTTTTAAACGACTAAGTGCAATCTTAGACATGGCTACTCAGAAGTATTTATTTTAGAAGCAAATAAATAATAGAAAACAAATAAAATAAATTATGCATGGCTACTCAGAAGTAAGTGCCATTTAATTTAATGGAACTTACTCCCAGGTAAGTGCACATATAGAGTATACCCCTATACCTCCCCACCACCCCCTCCAGCAGTTTTCCTTTCAGCTTTCAGAACATACCATACTCTCAGCTATATTTTCCCATATGGCATCTGGGATGGAGGATCCAAAAGAAGAGCCCAAAGACTTTTCCACTTCTGCAGCCATTCAAGCCATAAGACATGAACCTATATGAATCTGACCATGACCATGAACCTGCGAGGAAACCCCTTGAGTATGAGGGCACCTACCTGCCTAGGATTGCACTGCATTTCTACAATGCTACACAGATGCTCCTATGAGGAGCCCCCTCTGGACACACTGGGACTTGTTTCTGAGAAAACATGCACAGGATTTGCACTGAGGGCCAGCTACTGAAGTCAGCAGATAGTACTCCAACGATACAATGCCAGGCATGCTTCCTTGCTGAAGTAACCCCCACACTGTCAGAAGGGATGGCTCCATGCAAGTGCAAATCATGATGCAGAACATCTTGCACCAGAGCATCACATGGGCAGGTGAGTCCACGGCCATCTTTCAGGCCCTGCCCTAGACTGCTAGTTGCTCCAGCTTGTCCTGCTGTGAGGGACCTCACAGTCGCAAAGCAGCTTGCGCCCAGTCTGTCTCCTGGGGAGGCTCTTACCTGGATCCACCCAAGGCAGGACGGCAGCAATGCCGAAGGAGGTTGCCTCTTTGAGGGGAGCCACTTTGGGGGGAGATGGAAGGGCAGGGGCAACCCCTCCACTTGCCCAGAGCCCTTGGGGGGGGGGGGGGGATTCTTTTTCCTTTCCTAGGGCAATCTCTGGAATACACAGGTAACTTGGGGCAGTTGACGTGCTTGCTCCTGGATGGCCTCCCTGTAGTCCAGTGAGTCCATGCAGGACTGTAATTCACCCCAGACTGGGGTCAGTGAAGCAAAACAGGAAACAGCTTGAATGAAGATGGAGAAAAACTGGCAGATGCAAGGAAGTCCCAGTGCATGTATATTTAGGACCAGTGAGGGCAGCAAAGAAAGACCATCTCATTCCCTCGATACAGTCTTATCTTTTTCACTCAGCAGAGCTTTTGAGGGTAGCCAAGCCCTATTACAAGCTGGCCCAAGGCCTATCTGAGCCCTACTACAGTATATTTGCTAGGCACTTCCAGGAAAAACATTCTTGCATCTGCTGAGGCTTAGACTCCAGTGTTGAGCTGAATCAGGTGAAGTACCCAGAGCACTGCCTAGTCAACTATTTTGCATGAGTTTCAGTTCATACAGCTTAGGAATGTAGACACAGTGATTGGACTGGTCCCTGCATGCTGTGCACTGGATCCCTGCTCCTCCTGGCTTATGCAAAGCAGCAGGAAGAGCACAGGGAAGCAGTCAATGTCTCCTTGCAAGAGGGCCTGGCCCCCAGACTGCCTAAAAGCAGCAGCACTCAGGCTACTCCTGCAGAAATTGTCTCTGGATCCAGAAGGTCGTACCAACTCTAGGCTGGTAGTCAACAATCCTTCCTAGGTAAGGTTCCTGAGTGAGAGCTAGCCAACCAGCTTCAGGCACTCTTGGATGCGACCGATTATCTGGATCCATTTCATAAGGGGTTAAGGCCAGGGTCTGTCACGGAACAGCTTTGGTCACCCTGTATGATGATCTATGCCAGGAGAGAGATGCAGCTAGAGTGAACCTCTTGGCAGCTTTCAGTGCCATCAGCTGTGGGATCCTGAAGGGAAAGCTGCTGAGCTGGGAGAGGCAGCACTGTCGTCCTTCTGGTGCTGGAGATATCTAACTGTCGTTCTTCCTCGGTGTGGAGATATCTAACAGCAGATGGCAAAGGGGCCTCTCTCTGCACCGGTCTAGTTTATTGAATGTACTGGATGTGTTTACTTGGTCGAATGGTTTTTAATTTCTGTTTTAAATATTGTATTGAATGCTATGCTGTTTTTTGTATTTATACTGTGTTTTTATTAATTATTTATATAAACTGCCCAGAAAGCTTTGGCTATTATTATTATTATTATTATTATTAGTAGTAGTAGTAGTAGTAGTAGTAGTAGTAGTAGTATTTCTTCCAAGGAAAGCCACTCATGGGTTTTTATCTTACCCACAATCCTTTCCCTGGAATATGTCTTCTAAATCATACACACAAACACAGGCACACACATTCATGAGAATGTTGGGCTGCAGGACAGTTGCTCCCTGATCTCAAAAAATTTAGATCTTATACTAAATTATACTTTAGGATTGTATTTGTCATTGATGTAGAATTAGATGGAAATTACCCATTCAATGGGCTAAATGAGTTCTTACAATGTTGATCACTATAGAGTATTTATGTGTTGTCAGCTGAACAACCCATTAAAATAGTTTCCAAGGACCTCACTGCCTGGGCTGCATTCTGAACCCATTAAGGTCCTAGGGGGGAAAATACTGCCACTTCAGTAATTTCTTTTGAATAACAAGTTCCCTTTCTTTCCTTTGCCTACAATAACAGAATCTATCCCTCCTTGTTTACCACGGATTTTCTTTGAACTCTGCACTGAAATCTAATCAGTATAATCATTGAAGGCCCTTTAATATACAATTTGAAGTAGTTAATCTTTCTATATTCCTCAGTGTGAGACACTGTTCATGGGGCCATTCCTGAGAAATTGCTTTTGCCCTGTGAAATTGGCTCCCTTAAAGCCACATCATGAGTCGGGCCAGGGACCCTTGGATGCAGCACGAACCCTGCCCAACACAGTCTTGGCACCATTCTTCCTGATGGTGCTGGGGACCATGGCATGTGGGGAGGGGAACTGAGCCAGCCCTGCCACAGAGTAGGGTGAACCAAGCTCTTCAGGAAGCGAAGTGGCGCGGGGTGAGGGTAGCCGGGGGGCAGGCACTGGGCCTGGAATGGTTCAGGAGGGCAGCAAGTACACACAATCCCATACCCTCATAAGCCAGGGATATTCATCATCAGGACAGAAAAGCTCTCCTGCTTCTATACTTAAAATATGCACATTTGCTCCTCATCAAGTCATGCCTTAAGGGTTTTCTACCGACCTATGGTAGGAATGTATGGATTTTGTCAAATCTGTACCCTCTATGTTTTACAGGTGGCCAGACTTCTTTCACTCCATCTTCAGCAAATACTAATCGCCCCACCAATTTTAACGAGGGTCTGCAAGTTTGTGTGACTTGGAACAGCTGGTCCTCTGCAGAAACCGCAGGTCAGATTCATAGAAGCCTGGACACACTCAAATCCATTGCAGATTTCTCTGACATCTCTGCTGCTGCTGAGTCAAGAATAGTTTTACAACCTCGTCCTCAATGCTGGCAGCAGCTGCTGTTGCTGGGGAAGTGGAAAGCGTAATGACATCCGGAATCAGGCATTTCCTGTTCCAAGAGGGGACGCTGAGGAGCTTCGCTGAGGCAGTCTTGTCACAGCAGGCCCGCTCACTCAAAGGCCCAGTTCTGCCCTGAGCGACACGACATCTTTGGGCAGCAGTGCATCCCTTTTTTCCATCTCGATCCAATGACCTCTCCCAACAACACCTGGGGGGCAGAGGCTTATTCAGAGCCCCATGCCTAGTTTTGCAACCTCAGACCTGAGAGCCCAGATGCTGAGCCCACATCCTGCCCTGCTCGCAACCAGCTGGGGAGCTCTCCCCAAGGCATCTGCTGCCTCCCCAAGGTGCAGGGGAGAAGGGAGGGCAAGAAACAGAGGCCTACAGCTCCACCATATTTAAACAGTGCCCAGCCCCCTCCCCTTCCCCTTCCCCTTTACACAGCTCCACCCAGCAGTGACTGCTTGCTGCCGCACCTTGTGCCTTGCATCAGACACACAGGGCCTCATGGGCCTGGAGGGTCGGAGCAAAGGCCTTGCCACAGGAGCCCCTCTCTCACAAGCCATGGTTCAACATCTGCCTTAACATGCAAGCCCAGAGCCGGTGGCTCAATCACCACGTGCTCATGAGGCAGCAGGCACTACAACTTTGGGTGCCTTTGGAAAAGGACACATGAAGGGCTTCAGGCTTCCCTGCAAGGCACTTTCTGAAACTGCCAGCATCCCATGCAGACCCAGTCACTGCTACTACTGCCAGCTGACTTCCAGTAAGAATAGGAAAGGTAAGGAGGAAGTCTAGTCCTGGACCCAGGCCAAGGACAAACTGTGGCCCAGTGTCTGCCAAACTGAACTCAGACATGTCAGACTGGAGACATTCATTCATTGAACCCCCCCATTCCAAACTTCAGCTGCATTACAAGTTAAAACAACATAGGAAATTAATAATTTCCTTTCAGCTCCCTGGGAAGAGTGGGGAGGGAGGACGGATAAAGCTTTGGAGGAAAACAGCTGCAGTGCTTGGAACACGGGGAACAGCCTGTGCCTCTTAAAGATGACTGGGGGCTACAGCAGTGGTCCCCCAACTTCTGGGACATGGGGGCCACATTAGAGTGCCCAATGCCTAAAGAGGGACACATCTTAAATCAAAATGTAACAAAATTATTAACCTAAAGATTTAGATCAAAAGTAAACATTCAGAGGTCAATGGAGAAATGTTAACTTGAATGCAAACCATTTGGGAACAATATTTTACTGTGGAGTCTTTTTATCTAGCTACTCATGCTTATGAAGTCAGTGTGAATTTGTGGCTGTTATACAAGACATTAATGTCCAAGTCAAGGTTTGTGACAGGCACCCTTAAAATGTCATTTAAATGTTCATCTATAAGTCTTGACTTGCACTCGGATTTCACAATTTTCATATTGAAAAAGTTGGTTCACAGATTTCTGTGGTGTCAAAGGCTGCAAACATGCCTGCAGAAAATTTCTTTAGGTTGATAAATAGATCAGGTAGACCACAATAGAAATTTAACAGACTATTTCCTTTCTAAATGTCTCCAAGATGATCACTGGTTTGCAAATCAATTAGTTCCATCTGAAAAAATTACTTGCACGTCCTGGTGCTCCTTCAAATGGATTCTGAAACATTCCTATTGCCTTTCCATGCTTATTATGGCAATCAGGGAATCTTTTCTGGAATTCCACCTGCAATAGGTTCAGTGCTTTAATGAGTCTTTCAACATTGAATTTTAAATCCCTATTCTTCTCAAATTTTAGTTCATTGTAGCACGAGTGGTTTGAAAGTTACTTTCACTAACTTACTTCACAAAAAATGTTTAGTTTTGCTTCAAAGGCTTTCTCCATATTCTGCATCTATCTCTGAGAGAAAATTTTGAAACTGACAATTAGTAAGGCCATGATGTAATTAATGTTGGATTCAGCAATATGCATCACACATTCTCACCAAGGAATCTTACGACACAAGGCTTGCTGATGGATGATGCAGTGAAATTGCATGGGAAATGTACTGTTTAATTTCAATATCTCTTTACTGATTCTTGCAATTACTTCCCACCATATTTCTTGCACCATCAGTTGGGATGCTTTTCAGTCTATCCCAACTTATCTACTGATTCACACACATCCTAGAATATGCTTTCTGCAATTGTAGTGCCTTTCAAAACTTTTTGTCTTGACAATCACTGACATATGCAGCTCTTCTAGTTTTTCAACCTGCTGGGTGATTGTAGATGCAGATAAACTGACACAACTAACACAAGATACTTTATCAGGGCACATTTCCTCCATTACTTTAACCATGTACTTCTTAACAAATTCACCATCCATGAATGGCCTATCACTTGCAGCAATATATTTAGCAACATGTTAGCTGGCCCTCACAAAAGGAGACATTGGTTCTCCTCAGCATGCCTTCTAAAACTATTTTGCTGCAAAACCACTGATTTTGTAAGAGAATGTATCTTGTTCACTGGCACCTCTCCTTGATATATTAAGGAGCTCTTGTGACAGGATTCAAAGTGCTTTTTAACATTGTACTCTTTTATACTGAGAGAGTTTCAGGTAGACTACTTTACCCTTGTTTATTACAAAGAAGAACCAAGTAGTCCATTTGTCATTAAAGACATGGTGTTTGTCTGTAATTTTTCATTTCTTTGAAAGAGCACTTTCTTTTGCAGACATCCTCTTACAGAATTTTTAGCACAACAGCAGTTTCAGTTTCATTATTATCTTTGAATAAATAAAAATATGAGAACTATAATTTGGGCAGGGGTTCTAACTCTTCCTTTCCCCATCAAATCCACCCCAATCTGGCTGCGGTTGGCTGGGGATTTTCATTTTGACCATGGCAAAGAAGAGACGAGACCCCTGTCTCTACAGTTCTCATGAATACTGGCCATATGCACAGGCTAGGAATAATTTTTTAAAAACGGATTATGAATCTGACCTACCAGATGGCAGAGTTGCAATCCTAAGTACATTGAATGCTATGATATTGTATTTGTTAATAAATACACTGCCTTGAATTTAAATACACTTATTTAAATATACTGTTTAAATATGCACATGCTAATACTTTAAACATTGAGGGCCCTCCAAAAAAGGGCAGGTCGAAAGAAAAATTGATTGAAAGGGCAGCCTCCCACCTGGAGCAAAGAATATGCCATTAAGTTGAGTCTTAATCCAGACAAGACAGAGGTCCTTAACTCTCCAGGTAAGTGATCTTTCTGGATCTTTCTGGATGATCCTGTTCTGGATGGGGTTGCACTTCCCCTGAGGGACAGGGTGCGTAGTCTGCGAGTGCTCCTCAGCCCAGAGTTATCCTTGGAGTCCCAGGTGACTACTGTGGTGGGGATCATGTTCCTACAGCTTCAGCTGATCCATCAACTATGCTCTTATTTGGATGAGCAGAGCCTAGCAATGGTGACCCATGCGCTGGTAACCTCCTGACTGGACTACTGTAACATGTTCTACATGAGGCTGCCCTTGAAGACGGTCCAGATTCTTCAGTTGGTTCAGAATAGAGCAGCCAGGTTACTACAGGGACCGGCAGATATGCACACGTAACACCAGTCCTCTGCCATCTGTACTGGCTTCCAATTGAAGTCCAGGCCCAATTTAAGGTGCTAGTGATGACTTATAAAGCCATAAACAGTTTAGAACCTGGATATTTGAAGGAGTGCCTCCTTCCATACATACCTGTCCACCTGCTACGATCTGGATCAGAGGTCCTTCTTTGGAAGCCCTCTTTGAAGCTGATCAGAAGAATGGCTACCCAGAGAAGGGCCTTCCCTGTGGTGGTGCCCCAGCTGTGGAACATGCTTTCCAGAGAGGTGCACCTGGTGCCAATGCTTTTTACAATTTGATGCCAGGCTAAACCCTTTTTATTTTCCCATCATTTAAAATGCTAATATTGTTTTAAGATTAGTTTTATTTATTGTAATATCTTGATGCTGTACCTTACTTTATTTTATTGTATTACTGTCCTGAGACATAGTGAAGGGCGAGATATAAAGGCTTTAAATATAAATAAATAATTTGGCTCCAAATTATATGCAGGCTGCACATACACATCACTGCCTACCAGCCAAACCTCGATCATGAGAAGCAAAATGGCTGCCAGGAGGGAGGGAACTTGGCTAAAGAAAGATGTGGGAAGGGGACTCTCATAAGCTTCCCTGCCAAGAGAGTGCTCCTTCTCTTTCAGCCCAAGGGGCCACTCACTGGCTCCTGCAATCACAGATGCATGAGAAGACTCCTAGCTGGAGTTGGGGAGGAGAGGCAAAAGGAAGCAAGGCAAAAAGTCAGAGCAGGCAGCTCTTGTTGAAGAAGATGTGAGAAATGGAAAATTACTGTTACTAAGCAGGAAGGTGATAACTGAAGCAAGGATAAAATAAAGGGCTAGGGTAAGGCCATTGAAACCTCTTAAGGCCAAAGAGCCTGAGGACAGAACCATGTAAAGAGTTGTAATAAAAGCAATAGTGCTTCTTACATCAAAGTCCTGAAGAACACAAGAGAGGTGAGGTTGGGGGCATTGGCAAAACTGTCACCTTTTGCAGAAGGGAGTAGGAAATTGATTGCCTCTTACAACTGGCCGTAATGAGCTTGGAGGAAGGGCTGTTCTCCTATCTCCTCCTCCTACAAGGTTTGGGAAATAAGTGGTCATCAAGCGAGACGGTTACAAGGCCAAGACGACCTATTGAACTCTTAGAAAGTAGTGTGCATGCTTAATAGGCTTATGAATAATAACTGACACACCTCTCATAGGTAATGGGCTCATTAGCATGAACATGGGATGTATGAGCGGGAGGGGGAACATATCGAGGAGTGGTATGATGCAGGCGGACGGAGAAGATTGTGAACTCCT